ATCACTCCATCGTGGACTTGGGGTCTCTCCTCTCCCAACCGCTTGTACCCCTACTACTTAACCTCATTAGTAGATTTGCTAATAGCACACAAACCAAAATAACAGATCGAAATAGGGACATTCAATTTTAACCAAGATAACCCTTGTGTCCTTTATTTGTTCAGAGAAACACATTTGCGAATAATTTTATTATTCATTCATCGCTTGGAGCGATGGTTGTCCCCAAACTAAAAGATATACTAGGTTTGCCCTAAAAGTGTGTTGTTTATGGAGCCCAAAAGAATACTAACATAATAAGATAATAAGCATTGTATTATCATTTGTGTCCATACAATTATTAATTTGCTTCACACCATCTAACCAAGATAACGACAGTCATAGTCTCACATGCACCATGCAAAGTAACAAGTCTATGGTTAATAAACCAAGCAAAATAACAAAGAGAGGTGTAAGTACCACATCAATCCACCTTTCCTCTCATATCCCACCAGTCGCCTTTCCTTAGATCTGGCAACACCATATTATACGTGGCAACAAAAAAAATCAGATTGTATGAGATAGAAAGGTAGTACATCCAGTTGCACCAACAAATGTTGTGTTTTTTCTAGTAAGTAACGAAAAATTGCAAGCCATGGGCGTAAACATATATCTAAATTCTCTAATAGAGATCTTTTGCATTGCGTTAGGTTTCTAGTATGAAAGCACATGATTCCGATATACAGACAAACACCACTAAAAAAGAAAAATGAAATTGGTAAAATGACCCCTATTTAGTACAAACCGGTCTTAGTACGACACCCAAGCAAAGCCAAAGCCATGTTCTTTCGCCCTGTGGCTCGTCCGGCCGTCCGGCAGTACCTGATCCGGTCTCACGCCGCGCACTCACCGTGTCCGCGGCGGCGAGGCGCACCAGCGGTAAGCACTGTCGCTTCTGAGCCTGCTCCACCAGAGCATCCACCACCGATGCTCCCGACGCAGGGCCCCGCCGGTTGATGCCATCGCGGACTCGATCGGTTATCCGATCTACAGTCGTGGCACCGAGGCAACTGTTGTCTAGTGATTGCCTGATGATCCCCTAGATCGGCAACAACAGCTCAGGCGACGACGACATGTACTACTCATTGTCGGCCTCCCTCCCGTGTTTCCATGACGACAGCACCACGCCAACGCCGCCGTGGCATGTCAGCTTGGTCTGCGCGGCGCTGACCACGCCGCCCCGCCTAGCGGCGGCGAGGTTACCAGCTCTGGCGGGCATGGCCGCAGCGGAGCATGTGCCTCTCCGTCGTCGCTTTTCTGCGATGGTTGCTGCTCTGCTTTGGCTTCACGACTGCCGCGCTGCTAGCAACGAGCAGCGGCCGCGAGTGCCTCGACATGACCACGGGACATCGGTGTCATGAGGCTCAGCCACAGGGACAGGAGTTTTTTTTTATTTTATAAAAAAGATTATGATTTAAAGAGATGGGCAAAGGTTAACTGCCGACTGTGAAGATCTCCAAGATCTGGACGCATAGGTGGACCGCCGAGCAGCTCGAGCTGCATCTGTTATTTATTTATCGCCTTGATGTATTGTATTTGATTTTGGAGAAAGGCAAGGATTCATAGGATATACGGAAAAATAGGGGCGATGCTTGTATCTTGTCGGATTTCGTAAGAGAGTCCATCACTGAGACATGAGAAGCAGAGTCACTTTTCTTTTTGCACGTGTTCTGTCCAAAGAAAAAAAAAATCGGACTGGTCTTACCGGACGTACGATGAAAAAAAATATAACTGAAAAAATAAAATCGACCAAAATAGAATTGTTCGGGCCTCTCTACACGTACGAGGATGGGTCTCTCTAGAAGTACGACAGGAAAAGTAATAATACATAACACGACATAAAAAGAAAATAAAAAGATTAAAATATAGGTTTCTCATGCGGCTGGACTCTATTTATTGCTTGCCCGTAGACCGTCTCCAACAGTTCATACAAAGGACGACGCAAACCCAAAATAGGTTATGCATAGTGTTTTAGCTGAAGAAAATCGGCTCCGACAGAAGACGCAAACATAGCATGCATTTTAGGTACGAGGCCAACCGGGACGCTTATTTGCGTCGTCTTTCTCCAAGACGCAAAGTCTTCGGTGCCCGTAGTGGTGGGCCCGTAGGAGGCGTCGGTGTGGAGCAGTGGTGGGTGCCAGGCGGGACCGCGGCGGGGCGTGGCCGGCTCGACGAGGCGAGCTCGCCGTGGGAGCACCTCCGGAGCCACCGGCCTAGGTTGCCTCACCGAATCTAGGACCGCTCCCCGGCGGAGGTGCTCGCGCAGCGCTCGCCGGATCTCGCAAGGAGGGAGGGAGGCCGTGCAGGGGAGGGAGCTCGCCGGCGAGGCGGGCCCGACGATGACGATGGCGGCGGCGAGGCGGGGAGGGAGGCGGGCAGAGCTCGGTAGGGAGGGAGGCAGGCGGCGCTCACCGGATCTCGCAGGGAGGGAGGGAGGCCGTGCAGAGGAGGGAGCTCGCCGGCGAGGCGGGCCCGACGACGACGACGGCGAGGCAGGGACGGAGGCGTACGGAGCTCAGCGGGGAGGGAGGCGGGCGACGCTCACCGGATCTCGCAGGGAGGGAGGCCGTGCAGGGGAGGGAGCTCACCGGCGAGGTGGGCCCGACGACGGCGAGGCGGGGAGGGAGGCGGGCGGAGCTCGCCGGGGAGGGAGGTGGGCGGAGCTCGACGGATCTCGCAGGGGGGGGTGAGGGAGGTCGTGTAGGGGAGGGAGCTCGCCGGCGATGCGGGCCCGACGACGACGGCGAGGTGGGGAGGGAGGCGGGCTGTTGGAGGAAGGTTTTGGGTCGATGACCTATTTATTGTGCAGAACCCAAATCCTAGAATGGATCGCTGATTTATGTATCAACTGTTGGAGATGGTCTTACCCCGTTATGCTCGTGCACACATGTTGCCAAAAGGAAAAAAACAAATAATTAACAAATCTAAGTTGCTTCCTTTTAACACCAGCAAATTAATAACGTGAGTGAGTTCCGTTCGTATAGGACATATGGGGGCCTTAGTTTCCAAAACAAACACAAAAGGAATCCGATCAATATATCTTATATTTGGATTAGGCTTCCTACTTATATTCTTGCTATTTTAAGATGTCATACATGTCATATATATATATATATATAAACATGAGAGCTATAGACAGATGTAAAGAGAGGCAATTTTCACATTCACAAAATTTGTTAGGGGACGATGGACGAAAAAATGGCCAAAAATTGTCTCTTTATTATTAGGTATAGAATAACCACATGATTTTTTTTTTATGGAACACAACTTGATTGAGTATTACTGTAGGCCTGTAGCTAAGAGTTACATCCACCTGCATACTCTCAGCACCTCTAGGGGCATTCCGAATCTGAGCAGCACCTTTGCCTCCTATACCCACCCCTTCGCACAGATGGATTGGTCGTAAGTTTCTGGTGGGAAGCTGCAGCCAGGTCGATATGTAGAAGCCAAAGGCACAATTTCAATGGTATGATCATCTATGTAATAGAACCGAAGAATCTTTCCAGAATAAGCATCTCACTGCACTATAGGTTGTCGAGAAAACAAAAAAAAAATGCTTACAATGCAGAAGTGCACTTGATTTGCAGGGGTAGATCAGCCTGTTTCTCTGAAGGCTTCTCTTTCTTTTTTTTGAAGCAGGTGGGCTTCTCTTTCTAGCATCCCTTGTAAGAAGTGTGAGGGGAACTCTGTGTTCGGTTGCTAAGCTATGATCCTGTATATAAACTCTCTTTTCTGCTCAATTAAAAGGCAGAGCTCCTGCCAAACCCAACTTTTTCGCCTCTTGCCAAAAGGGTATTGCCAATGAAAAAAAATGAGAAACAACTCTTTTCATGTTTTCCATTAAAGCCAATTAACCTAACAACATGAGTCATGGTTGAAAGCAGATATGACCCATTGTTATTGCTCCTTGCGATACCAAAACACCCTACACGCTAATCTGCCTAGTGAGATCCCAGCGCCTAGACAAGCTTGAATTTACTCACAACATTCAAAAGAATATACCTTGTCAAATACCTTGGCAGCATCGTTTGCATCATGCTCAGTAAGATTCAGGGCACTGCATAGCATCATATTAATTGGTGACATCATTTTCATCAATTGATATAAATGGGCCAAGACTATGATCTTCCCTTAACCTGGATAGTGCTGCTTTGTCATTTGAATCACTTCTATTTACTCTCATGAACCGCCATGGCCTTCTACACCTGGTGCCTGCATGAAAGTTTAAAAAAGGACAAGTTCAGTAGAATCTCCATAGAAGATACTGCACACATTTCTTGAGTTATGTTGTACAGTTTGCTGGGTGCACACATTACTTGTGTTATGTTGAAGAAAGCCAACAGTTTGTTCAGGTTCAGTATTTTAGCATGGAATTTCAGAAATAGTAGACAGTACAGTTCAGTTCCATGAAAGCAATCATACCTTCTTTTCTAGAGATCAGGGATGTCAGGCCTTGTTTTGTTCACCTAGCAATAGCATAGCAGCAAAATGCTATTCGGATGTAGTGCATTTTACATTCACAATACTTGCTCGAATCTAATTTCTTGTTGAATATTCTATGCATGGTTACGAGCACTGTGCAGCAGTAATTTTTGCATCAGGGTGTAGATTTTGCCTGGCAATAAAGATTTTAGCGAAAAATTATTGAATAACACTTTTGTGTCATGTAGAGACGAGGTGTTGTCATCTTGAATTTATAGCATCTGCATCTGTACAGGAAGCCATTTTTGTCATTTGCTGTTATAACATACATCTATAAAATTAATGGATGCAACTATTAAAATATTAATTGTGAAATGTGAGAAATCGAATAGTGAGATGACCCATGGAGAAGAATACCTGATCACAGAACATTACATTAGCAACAACACCTAAATTTTCAACAATCTTCCTACTCCCTCACCCAACGGCTATGGCAATAAAGCATCGGCAGGGGCATCATTTCTTCTGGGCAGCAGCCTTGGTCACCTTGGCACCAGTCGGGTACTCGGGTCCTTCTTCTCCACGCTCTTGATGACTCCAACAGCTACCGTCTGCCTCATGTAACGGACAGCAAAACGACCCAGAGGAGGATACTCAGAGAAGGTCTCAACCACCATGGGCTTGGTGGGAATCATCTTCACCATACCAGCGTCACCGTTCTTCAGGAACTTGGGCTCCTTCTCAAGCTCCTTGCCAGACCGCCTGTCGATCTTGGTAATGAGCTCAGCAAACTTGACAGCGATGTGGGAGGTGTGACAGTCCAGCACTGGGGCATAGCCGTTGCCGATCTGCCCAGGGTGGTTCATGATGATGACCTGGGACGTGAAGCTGGCAGCCTCCTTGGCAGGGTCATCCTTGGAGTTGGAGGCCACATACCCACGCTTGAGATCCTTCACAGCCACGTTCTTCACGTTGAAGCCAACATTTTCACCAGGAAGGGCCTCCTGGAGAGCCTTGTCGTGCATCTCAACAGACTTCACCTCAGTGGTCAGGCCAGTTGGACCGAAGGTGACAACCATCCCAGGTTTGATGACACCAGTCTCCACACAACCAACCGGGACAGTTCCAATACCACCAATCTTGTAAACATCCTGGAGGGGCAGACGCAGAGGCTTGTCCGAAGGCCTCTTGGGCTCGGTGATCTGGTCAAGAGCCTCAAGCAGGGTTGGGCCCTTGTACCAGTCAAGGTTGGTGGACCTCTCAATCATGTTGTCACCATCAAAACTAGAGATTGGGACAAAAGCAATCTTGTCAGGGTTGTATCCAACCTTCTTGATGTAGGATGAGACTTCCTTAACAATCTCATCGCAGCGGGCCTTGGAGTACTTGGGAGTGGTCGCATCCATCTAAAAATACAACAGCAACAGAAAATATCATTAACATTAGCTTGATTCTCCAGAGCAAGGGCATTGTATTAAGCTTGGAACAGAACACTATCATTAGCTTAATAGTACAGATCACATAAAAAGCAAAGCAAAATGAATCCATGCGAGAAAATATCAATCAAAATTAACTGGTACACCACTCTTTTTTTCAGGAATAAACTTGTTACAGTTACATCGCAGCAGCAACTACTAACAATAAACACATAAATAGGTAGATCACCACATATCATAATTCACAAATGTAACAAACATACAAAGTCCAGGTTGTAACAAATACAAAGCACATACCAAAGTACATAGCTCACAAGGTATATGTCAATGCATCCTAATATTAAACTGTAACAGCAGCACATTTAGTAACCATACCAAACAAATTAAGACAAATAAATGCTGCTGCACTTGTACATGCATTCCTTATGCACTACTACTGTTCCAATAACTTCAAAAAATAACTCGAAACAATTGAATGTGAAACTTATATTAAAATTATTGAGGAAATCTTTCAGACAAGTAAATTAACTACTAAACATGAAAGAAACAGAAGGTTAATGAAAGCTCAAGCCATTAATTGACTTGGCAAATTCTGTATAACTCAAAACCTATTATATTAGCATCGAACTCTACAGCTCACATACTATTAATTGACTCAAAACCTATTAATTGACTTGGCCATTAATAGAGTTTTAACTAATGAAGAGTGAAACAGAAATTCCTGATAGCATACCTTGTTGCAGCAGCAAATCATCTGCTTCACTCCAAGGGTGAAAGCAAGGAGAGCATGCTCATGGGTCTGGCCATCCTTAGAGATACCAGCCTCAAAACCACCAGTGGTGGAGTCAATGATAAGGACAGCACAGTCAGCCTGGGAGGTACCAGTGATCATGTTCTTGATGAAGTCACGGTGTCCAGGGGCATCAATGACAGTGCAGTAGTACTTGGTGGTCTCGAACTTCCACAGAGCAATAGCAATGGTGATACCTCTCTCACGCTCAGCCTTGAGCTTGTCAAGCACCCACGCGTACTTGAAGGACCGCTTGTTCATTTCAGCGGCCTCCTTCTCAAACCTCTCGATCACACGCTTGTCAATGCCTCCAAGCTTGTAGATCAGGTGGCCGGTGGTGGTCGACTTGCCAGAGTTGACGTGGCCAATGACCACAATGTTGACGTGATTCTTCTTCTTACCCATGGCTGCAGCATAAAACAAATCAAAAGTAAGAAATAAAGTATGGGATAAATCAGGCAGGAAACGGCATATGTTGCTGTTTCAAAGTGAAATAAAACAGATAATATATATAGATCGAAAAGGGAAAGTTGATGCTGCACACGAAGGAACATTAAGGAACAACAAAACTACTGGCACACGAAAACCATAGAGAGCACCTGGCCATCCCTCCACTTCTAAATTCACCAATTCTTAGGCACAGACAGAACTAAACCACTGAAGTTTTAGTACACTGGACCAACAGAACAACAATGCAGACACGCAGCAGCAGCAACAGTACAAATCAGTTGCAATCGAGCAATAAGCATATCAGACTCAAGACTATCAGCTATTAAATATTCTACTGCATGGACTAGCACATTTCATCACACAAAAACATCATAAAAATAAAAAAAGAAAGTGTTACTAGGCTTTAATATTTGCATTAGAAAATTGCTAATGTGTTACTGGGTAGCAAATGCACCTTTGGCCTTCAAGGACACCAGCACCCTACTCCTGACAGCACGGGCAAACAGGATCTCCTTGTAGATATTCAAGCATGTCCCCTTATGGAGCTTACGTTCATACTTGTGTGCTTGATCTACCAATGTGCTTGATCCACCAATGTACTTTTCATATCTTCCGACAACATCTGGAACAACAATGGTTTCTCACATTGCACACGGTGACAGTTTTTAGTAAATGCACAGCCGTAAGCTTATTGTACATCTGGATAGCATTACTATTTACCTCATTAGAAGTGCCAGTTTCGATTTCATCGTTAGGGTAAGATAGTAATTTAAGGGCAGCAGCAAGTTTTTGTAGATCCCAATTCTGACAATCAATACCAGATACCTCCTTCAGATATTCACCATCACGGTGCAAAAACTCAGCAAACCTATTCACGTGGTAGTCAGACTCGTACACAGCAGTTGCTATAGTGATAAGATCTTCATCGACCTGCACATATGGAGTGGGCTCAAAGTAATGATACAAGAAAACAGAAAGCACCAATCTGAGATATGGGAAAAGAAGAAATGAGCTCACCATCTCTGGCTCCACCTTGAAGCCATAGTTACTTAGGATCAATTGCATTCCTTTACTCATATGGCGGCGGTCCTCCGTAGTCAGCTCACATGTTTCAGTGGGCACTAAACTCTTCATTATGTGCTTCAGGCCCCACATCAATTCCATCACGGGTTCATCAAACAGGCAGTGTATTTTCTGAAAAATTCACGAGAAATATGACAAAGACACAAGACTTTCAGACATAAGTAAACAAGGGAAGCACATACTCACCAATTTTGCTTCAATGATCGTTTTGTAGTCACTGTTCCCAACAGCAAGTTTCTGCCCACTGCTATAATGCGACCTGATCATCTTAACAAGCTTGTAACTGAGACCAGTTTCAAGGTTGATGGCAACAGACTTGTCCTTAAATATTTGAAAATCTAGCAGGCAGACAACCTAATAAATAAATAAACAAACATATATGAGTATGGTAACTGGGAGGTTTCAATCACGATACGAGGGAAGGACACTTCAGTAGATGTAGCATCACATGTAAGGCACATGTAAGTCCTCAATCCTCATACATCGAATTATTGTAGCGCAATTCAAAACAATGTAAGTTTTTTAAAACAAAATGCAGTGTTCTGTGGTAGAACCAATCATCCAAGCGCATCTACAAGCCAGAAATAGGTGCATAGCAATACCATCACAGGTTACACCCCATGCCAAATGTGCATGCATGTGATATGCATGATTGCGTCACACAACATGCTCTAAACAACATGGGGAAAAAATATGTTTTGAACTGTTAAATTAGTAAACAACAAACAAGCTCGTTCATTATTCCCTTTAATCAATGAACAGAAGAGCATAAATAGGAATTAGGACATGTAGGACATAAGGGCTACTGACAGTGTTTCCCCTTTCATTATTCCCTTTAATCAATGAATAGAAGAACATAAATAGGAACTAGGACATGCAGGACATAAGGGCTACTGACAGAGTTTCTCCTTTTCGTCGTAAACTGTACCCATGTGTCCTGCAGAAGTTTGAGAAAAACCAGGAAAATTAGATCAATGATAAAGACGACGACGACGACGACTACAACAACAACAACAACATAGCCTGTCAGTCCCAAGCAAGTTGGGGTAGCTAGATCAATGATAAAGACAATAGAAAGAAAGTGCATTGGTAAAACAATTAACAAATCAAAGTACCTTCAAGGCTCCACAGCGAAAGAGATTGACGCCATTATATTTCAGCAGTGCAAAGCCAGAGGGCGTCTCAAACAGCACCAAGATGACCCCACCATGCCCTAACCAGTTTGCTGGGAACAGAGAAATCAAACGAATCAGGCAAGCAAGAATAATTAAAGCTTTAATTCAGCCGTGGATCAGAGGCTGGATGCCTTCAATCCTGCCAGATCCGCGGCAGCAGCCTGACCACTGCATCCCCGTCGCTCACGCTACCAGCAAACCCCTCCTGACTACGGGCAGCTCTGGGAGCTCTGGGGACGCCCCCGTCGGGGGCGGCCCCGGCCACCGACCCTCACGAATTTAAGCCCGACCTACTTCCGAAAACTTGCAAATGGAAGGGAACGGGGATTTTCGGGTCTGTGGAATCGAACCAAAATTAGTTTCGTATAAGCACATAATCGAACTCGCTTAGAATCTCTGTACTATGTGGGGAATGCAAGTTCTACGCTAGGGTAAGGCTACGCTCTAGGGTTTCATTTCTTATCCTCCTTCCGGAGTGGGTGGATTGAGAGAGGAGTATGGAGACACACCTATGTCAGCGCACGAAGATTCCGGGGGAGGAGGAGGAGGAAAGGATGGCGGAGAAGCGGGATGACCGCCACCGTGCTTCCCTGCTGCCGGTCGCCGAGATTTGTTTTTTCTTGTCACGAGTCCGAGATCTATATTTCGAGAGTTGAAGAAGAGGCTTTGCGGGCGCGACGGAACGGGAAATTCGTTGCGTGCCATTAAAAAAAAATCGCAACCACATGTCTCGACAAAAGTTCAGCGGCCTTCAGCGTCACTACTCTAATTTTTTTATGCCCTCTATGCCACTACCGTTAGTTTGGGCTCTACCACCGTCAAACTACAGGTGTGAAAAGTCGAAAATACCATTAAATCTAAATATGTCATTAATTTTTTTAGCATCTTAACGACTTCAAATAAAAAACTCAAAACTAGAAAGTTGTAGATCTCGTCGAGATCTATAATTTTCATATAAAAATTATTTCATCTAATTCTGCAAAAAAATATGATTAATATATCTTAGAAAAATCATATCTTTCGGACCCGACAAGAGCCCCCGAGCCCCCGGTGATACGGGCAGAATCGTCCAGGAGATTTTTATCATGACGGTGGGTATGCGCGAGCGCACCCGCAGGTGTAGCCCCCAAGCCTTCGGATGATTCGGGCAGAATTGTCTTGGGGGTTTCTGTTTTGTTAGCGGGGGAGGGGTTTATTTCGTCGGCGGGTGCGCGCGAGCGCACCCGCGGGTGTAGCCCCTGAGCCCCCGGGCGGTTCGGGCAGAATAGTCTGGGGGTGTTCGGTAGCGGGCGTGTGTGCGTGTTTTTTCAGTCGAGGCGGAGTTATCAATCAGGGCGTCGTTGCGCAGCCGCGGTGTTTAGTCGTTTTAGAGATTGGGTGAGATGGAGCTTACGGATCCTGGCGTCGATGCGCGCCGTGAGATCTGGTGAGACAGTTAGTTTAGTTAGTTTGGGATCGGGCGAGACGGAGCTCGTAGATCTTGATTGGGCGAGATCGGGGTCGTAGATCCAGGTTGTTTTTTGGAGCGTAGTCGAGGCGTAGCCGGATGGGGCGAGATCGGGGTCGCAGACCCAGGTGTTTGGAGCGCAGTTGGAGCGTAGCCGGATGGGGCGATATTGGGGTCGTAGACCCAGGTTGTTTTTGGAGCGCAGTCAGAGCGTAGCCGGATGGGGCGAGATCGGGGTCGCAGACCCAGATGTTTGGAGCGTAGCCGGATGGGACGAGATCGGGGTCGCAGACCCAGGTGTTTAGAGTGCAGTCAGAAGGGGCGAGTTCGGAGTCGCAAACCCAGACTTTTTGTGTCTTGAGCCCCCGAGCTTTGTTGGGCCTTAGTATGGATCGGTGTGAGTTGTGTGCGTTACCCCATCATCGGTTCCTCGCAACCGAAGGAGGTGAGTTTTGTCGCTTGTCCCGATTGCTTGGGCTCGAGTGACGTGCTTGGTGAGTTCGCTAACAGATATAATCGAGTGGAATCCGGTCCGTCGTTCGTGATGGGGTCGGCATAGCTCTCTTGTGATATTCCACTGCTCCTTTACCTACAACCCAACAAATGCCTGGGTCATTCCAGAGACCGACCCGGGTGGCCTAACGGCCTCCCCTCGATGGAGATTCTGTGGGTTTGGCAAGAGGTTCAGAATCGAACGAGAAGGTTAAGATGACCCTGTCTGTCAGACTGGACGAGGGCCGCACGGGGCTCATCTGTGGTTTTCTCCCCTGGCTCTGTTGGTTGCTCATGTCGAATGAGGCAACCGCCGCTTCGTGACGCAACACGGAGCGTTGTGATGCATTTCGCTGCACGTGCGATGCTTAGTTCCTGAGCCCCCGGGCGGTTCAGGGCCCGAATCGTCCGTGAGACACGGGCGTATGGAATGAATACACGTATGGATGTATGAAATGATTTATAAAGAAATAAAGGGGGTTGGTAGTTTTTACCTTGATGACTTGAGTGATGGGGTTTTGGAGAGCTTCAGTCGGAAACGTCCGACCGGGACCCGTGCTCGTCGTTCGTGACGGAGTCGGCATGGCCTACGTGGGGCGTCCCTTTGCTTCCTACCTATCTCTCGGTGTGTTTTTCGGAGCCGTTCGATCGACTTAGGAAGCCCGATGGTCTCTCCCGGCGGAGATCCTGCTTTGGGTTTTTTCAAGTCTCACCTGGGGGTGCGGAGAGCTGCCTGCGTGTGGTGACGTTTCGGTTTTCACGCCCGGTCGTGCGATAGTGGTGGGCCATACCTAGGCCACGTTTCGTCTCACCAGGCGGCGTTTTGTCTGACCTGGCATCGTTCCGTCGGTCAGCGTGCGTCCCATCGGTCAGGGTGTGTCCCATCGTTTCTCATCCGCATTGAATGGGGGAAGGGAGAGAGTTTTTCGCTCTGATCTTTTGCCCCTCTTCGGCTGCCGCGTTTCTTCCTTAAATAGGGGGAGGGAGAGGGCTCTCCGTCGTAGTCCTTTTCCTGTCCTTCAACTATTGTCTCTCCTCCTTCCTCCTCACCGAGAGTGCCTGTATGCCGTGGTGGTTCCTAAGTGAGAGAGATGGTAAGCGAGGGGGAGGACTTACATATCCTTTCGTGAATCCGGAGCGCGATGTCGAGCTGGAGGCTGCCCCGGGCGGTGCTGGCCGTCTTTGCCTGAGAAGGGGCGGCTTCTGCCGAAGGGGTGGCGTGCTGGATTCGTCTGCGAGGCCTTCTTCGGGATGGAGCCGTATGCGGAGGGGAAGTTGCCTAGGATCGTGCTAGTGGAGGGTTCTGCACCTGCAACTGCTCAGGTTGGCCAGTTCATAAAGTTTGATGAGATCTCTTCCAACCATGGTGGCCATACTTCGGTGGCGGCATCCCTGCCTAGGAGCTGCCTCGACTGCATGAGAAGGTCCGAAGCCCCATGCTCCTCTGCTGAGCATCTATGGGTGCGGCGCCTTTGAGGTACCTGTTGCGCTCGCCAAAGTCGAGGGAACGGAACCGGGCGGGTCCCTTGAGGTACCCGTTGCGCTCACCGAAGTCGTGAGCGAAACCGGGTAGGGCCCCCTGTAGCGGTGGTTATGTCCGACGGCGAGTGTCATTTTCCTTTGGCGTCATGCAATGTCGTCGAGTGGCCGTAGTAGTATTTGGAATGGAAGTAGTTTTTTAGCAAAAAATGTAATAGTTGAGTTTGTGGGTAAGCCCCTATGTGAACAGTTTTTTTATTAATGAATACATCAGTCCTGTTCTTTGTGATAGAATCACTATCCATTCCTTGTTTTTATCCTGGCGTAGCTATTGTTTTTGTCCTTTCTTTTTCGCACCTGTCCGTTAGTTCCGTAAGCTACATCTTTTTTAAGAACCTAGGCATGGCCCGCGGGGCTCGACTGATCGTAACCGCAGGTCGTGGCGGGGTGCGTTCAGTTAGGAGTAAGAACAAAGTTACGTAGGACAGTCAAAGAAAAAGGAATGCGCTTCCATTCGGGGCCAAAGTTGTTTACCACGTGACAATAAAAAGGAGAGGTAGTATTTGGTATTATATCCTCATGTAGCCCCCGAGCGACCTGTGCTGAAACTGTTCGGGCCGGGGTGCTTTACAGGAGCAAGTGTTGACTAAAAAGCGGTAAGACCAAATTTTAGAGGGAAAACGATGTAGCTGTTCAATGTTCTAAGTGTTGGTGAGAACGTTGCCGTTGTCATCCTCCAGTCGGTAGGTGCCCGGTCGGATTACTTCGGTCACCGTCTAGGGTCCTTCCCATGTTGGAGAGAGTTTGCATTTTTCCTTTGTTGATTGGGTCCTCTGGAGTACGAGGTCACCGACTTCAAGGATTCTCCCCCTAATCTTTCTTTCGAGGTACCTACGGAGAGTTTACTGATAGCGAGCGGAGCGGATGACGGTCGTCTCACGGGCTTCCTCGAGCAGGTCGACTGCGTCTTGCTGAGCCTCTGCGGCTCGGTCACGGTCAAAAGCCTTCATTCTTGGGGCGCCGTGGTCGAGGTCGGAGGGCAGCACTGCCTCAGCTCCGTAAGCCAGGAAGAAGGGTGTGAACCCTGTGGATCCGTTCGGGGTCATTCTCAGGCTCTAGAGGATTGCTGGGACCTCTGCCACCCATCGTCCGGTGTATTTGTTGAGTCGATCGAAGATGCGTGACTTGAGTCCTTGGAGGACCATGCCATTAGCACGCTCGACCTGACCATTGATTCATGGATGTCCGATGGAGGCCTAGTCGATCCTTATGCCGTATCCATCACTGAAGTCTAGGAACTTCTTTCCGGTGAAGTTAGTTCCATGGTCAGTGATGATACAGTTAGGAACGCCGAACCGGTAGATAATGTCGAGGAAGAATTTGACCGCCTCTTCTGAGCGGATGTTGGTGATGGGCTTGTCCTCTATCCACTTGGTGAACTTGTCGACTGCTATGAGTAGGTGAGTGAAACCGCCTGGGCCCTTTTTGAGGGGTCCCACCATGTCAAGGCCCCAGACCACGAATGGCCAGGTGATGGGGATGGTTTCGAGCTCCTGTGCCAGCAAATGCGTTTGCCGAGCATAGAACTGGCATCCTTCACATCTACGGACGACTTCCTCTGCATCTCGTAGCGCGGTGGGCCAGTAAAAACCTTGGTGAAAGGCTTTTCCGACCAGCGACCTTAGGGTTGCGTGATGTCCACAAATCACGGCATGGACCTCGAGGAGGAGCTGCTTCCCCTGGTCCGTGGGGATGCACCTCATGAGCACTCCTGACGGACTATGTTTGTAGAGTACGTCACCGAGCGCGACAAAGGTTATGGCGTGTCGAGCGATCCATCAAGCTTCAGTCCTTTCGAGTGGGAGGACCTCCTCGAGGAGGTAGGTGAGTAGCGGCGCTCGCCAGTCGGTTTGATCGAGTGCCAATACAACAACGTCGGCGGGTGACGCCATCATGG